CACTTCCCCTTGGTCTCCCTTTCTTCTTCTATCACTGACATAGGTCATAGAGAGCTATGACTTTCGCAACTGGCAGTCTGGTTGTGGATCTCTACCCACACAGTAACCCTGGAGCCTTATGCAAGCATCTCATATCTCTAAGCCTATGCTTCTTCCTCCGTAAAATGGGGATAATAGCACTTGTTTCATACACTAGTTGAAGGACCAGGATTTGGTGACTTAAAAATAACAACAAATGTGTCAAGTGCTCATCACAATACCCTGCACACAGCAGGGCACTCAAACTGTTATAAGGAGAAGGTCAGCAAGAGAGGGACAGCAAGCAATACCTTCTTGTCAAAAGTAGCCCTTCTCAGGAAGCTTGTGAGTAAACCACTTTTTCACACTGAGGGTTTCTGGGGACCTGCTAGTGATGTTGCTGCCTGGGGTAACAGGAAGGAGAGGAGGCAATTATACATGTAACAAAAATAATTTCATTTCTAATGCCTTCCCCCTGCTGGGCCACTTAGAATCCAAACAATAACAACAAGGCAGGGGTGGAAACAAGAAGGGTAGGCACATTCCAAAGGAGCCCAATGTCAAATTGGACTAGCCCAGGACTCACTATAGCTTGCAGACTTGGCTCTGCAGGAGCTACGTGACTTTGCTGGGTGCTGGCTGCCAAGGCTGGAAGCAGATTAGAGCAGCCTGACTGAGGCTCTGGAGGCTGAGTCGGCTGACTTCACTTAATGGCCTCTGTCTGGAAGCATGGTGACCAAAGATCCCCAGAAAAAGTCAGGGGCTCCCCTTTCCTCTCTCTTCCTGTAGGCAGCAAAGATATCCATCCCTCCCCATCTCCTTGAAAAAGTGAAAAGTCTCTGCTGGTGCCAAGAGAGTCTCAAAATTATCTATACTGTACCAACCTGCTACCTGTATGCAAAGAGTGTATAATATAAGCCTCTTTCAATAAATCCCGAGTCCACCCCCAAATACTTATTTATAGGCTCCCCGAGGTCCCCGTAGCCCTGTGTCTCTACTTTGGAATACTGCATCTGCACACCCCAGGGAAAGGGAGCCCCCAGGCCCTGCTACGTCATCTCTGGCTCCTCCCTATACTCAGGAGCCAGCAGGGACCTTGACTTATGTGTAAGTCCCATGTCTCCTAGGGGAAAAGGAGGCTGTACTCTACCAGGGCACATCCCAGCTGGCAAGGGCTTTGATTTAACCCCATTTATCAGACTGAGTTGGAGGGACAAGGAGAAGGAAAATGTGCAGGCCAGAAAGGCGAGTTTCTCTTTTTTTCTATGGACTCAAATATGAGCAAACTGGGTGGCTGAATCTTGTAGTTTTACTCCTCCACCCACATGTACTGACACTATAATCAAGCTATTTTCCAAGCCTATGCATTTAGATAATATTATTCTATTGTTAAAAAATAACAAAGAAAACTTCGACTGGATCACTGGGGACAGGTAAAAAGCAGGGGTATGTTCATGTTGCATTGCAACACCATTGGAATTATTTTAAAAGCCCGAGATATACCAGTCTACCAACCAGAATAGGTAAATAAGACTGCATACCTGTGGTATCTCTGTTTAATATCTTAAAGAATTAAAGGGCCTATTCAGAATCAAAACTACTTCTAAGAGCCCTCCCACAGCTACAGATGCCCTCCTGGGGACGGGGGTGGGAAATGTGCTAAAGGTTAGCTAAGTGGAAGGCCACAAACAAGGGGAGGTATCGGTTGAGACATTGCACCCAACCATGCCTTTCCTGCTGTCTGTGATTTCCAAACATTCCCTAGAAGCAGAGAACTCTCCTGCAGACCAGAGCTCTTGGTAAGATGGAGAAGTTTGATTTCTAGGTGTGATGGAATCCTGGAACTAGGAAGCTGGCACCATTTCTTTATAAATGAACTCTAATTAAAGGAAGGAGGCCATCATATTTGGAGATTAAAAGCAAAACTGTCCTGGGAGGAGTCAGATGCATCCAGGATAATCTAAGGTTCCAAAGTCCTGACAACTGTGTTCCAGAAGAAATAGGGCTGATTGAGCAGTCATTCTAAGTTGTTTCCAATAACTTAGGTTATTATGACCTGTAATATAAATATGATGCAAGGAGATCCTGGAGTTACGACTTGGTTCCTAACATAACAAATCCTCCACCCTGAATCTCCTATATCTTCCTGACTAGTAAAACATTTCACTGCTTGAGATTCATGAGTGTTAAGCCACAAGGGGGAAATGGGGAGCATAGGTCAAAAAATACGACCAGAATAGGCATGGGCTATTATGGAAAGGATCAGGGTTCACTCAGGGGTGTCTCAGCATCCACCTCCTGCCCCTCAGTCCCCCATGCTGTGCTATTATATACATATGTATATATATGCTTCCTCCTTCACACTAAAATGCCTCTTCTACTTGCAGAGAAGATGGAGGCAGCTCTTTCCAATCAACACCATTCATGTCTTTCCCCTTCCACATTTTTACCCAGAACTACCTCGGACCAGTCTAGTTTTAACAGATCAAATTGCAGGTAAATTTGAGATTATAGTTCGAGCTCCCTTTGTTGTCCCCAGGAGTAAGAGAAACAGAGGTACAGATTCAAGTTCATGTTCTCCTTTATGATGTTCTAGACAGAAAAAAATCCAAGCTTCCACATGAATATACTAGAATGAGATGCCCACCACATCCTACTGGCCTTATTCACCACTACAAGCTTGTTATCAAGGACAAGAATCAAATCAATGCAGTGACTATGTCACAGCAAGCAGAGTACAAGTGGCTACCAGCCTGGGAGAACATGACATGCTACTAAGCTGAACTAATCGTTCCTTGGCATTTCAAGAGCAGTTGGGTTGGCAAATCACAGCACATGCATAATTAAAAACAATAATTCCCCCAGAAAGGGAGGGATGGATGAATACACTGGGGTGTCCCCCAGAGGAGGACAGTTAGTATTTACACAGGCTAACTTGAAATCATACTGGATTCTTAGGACAAAAATTCCTCTTCATAAAGAAGGAAGGACCAGGAGGAACCTGAGGAGAGGAGATTTGGTACATCATTTATTGGAGCAAAGGGACAGATCCCAGGGAATGATCTCTCCATCAGAAATTCTCCACCTGAAGAATTTAGCATATATAACTACAGTTGACTAGGGGTCAAGTGAAGACTTTAATCATCCTCCCTCTAGTCAAAAAGAGTCTGAACTCATAAGAGGTGATTTCTTAATCCAGGGTACCTATGAATCACCCAGAATGATTAAAATATATATTCTTAAACCTCAGTTTGAGATCCTCATTCAGCAGTTATTCAGGAAAGAACCAAAAATATGTATTTTAAACCAGTTTCCCAGTTGATTTAGATACAAAGAGTTCATTTAAAAAAAACACCCTTGAGAACTGCTGTTCGATTCTCTAAAACAAGTCAGAATGCCCTATTCTTCCCCCAAGACATGGTTTATCTCCAGGAGTCCAGGAAAGGGGGAAGAAGCTCTGTATGTTTTCCAGGAAACCAAAACTAGGGCCAATCATGACCCACTCTTGGCTCTAGATCTAACCCTTTCAAGTCTTTCCCTTGTCAGACCTTTGATAAGAGAGATAGCATCTACACACACACACACACACACACTCACACACACACACACACACACATACACACACATATGCCCCCAATCAAGCACACCCCAAATTCTGAACACTATGAAGAAAAAATCAAGCCCAGTGCAATGGACAGAGAAAACCAGTGCACAGATTCTCTTGCAATTGGTCACATTCACGACAGCGCTCTCTCTCTCTCTCTCGCTCTCTCTCTCTCGCTCTCGCTCGCTCTCTCGCTCTCTTGCTCTCGCTCTCTCTGCCCACTTTCATCAAACAGTGGCAACGGGGGGAAAGATGAGAGGGATGATTTCTTTTTCAAGTGGTCCTAATACTGCAGGATGAATCAGGGACAAGAAGAAAAAAAAATCGCTGAACATCTAGTCCCTGGGGAAAGGCAGGGATTTACAGCCGGAGAGGTTTACAGCCTGGTCAACATACAGAAATGCTTGGCTCTGTAGAAAGAACCCTAGAAAAGGGGTGAACCTAGCACAAAGTGGGTTCAACCTCGGCAGCCCCCAGTGCAGAAAGTGATGGGGTGCCAGGCGAAGCAACAGTGAGTCACGGGGGGGTCAGGCTTTCCTGCGTTGAGAGCAAAGACCTGTCCCTCGGGGCTGGAGCTCTGTGACTCGGTTCCATGGCGAAGCCTGTTGTGTACACGCAAACGCATCCCCTCTTACCTCTCTCTTTCCCAGAGGGACGGCCCTGGGGCTGCGGGGCCCGCAGGCAGGAGTGGGGCGCCTAGAGCTGCCTCTGGTCTCCGCACACCGCCGCCGCCCGGTCGGGGCTCTCGATCCGCTCCAGACGTGGACGGTCACCCACCGGCCCTGCCATCCCTTCTCCACCGCACCCCTTAGACTGCCACCTGCCCTCTAAGCCCCAAACGGATTTCCTCAGGACGCACGTGAGCTGGCGAACCAAAGCAGCTGCTTCAGCACCCGGGACAGCGGCGCCCTCGGTGGGTCGGGGTGAGGTGAGGGGGTGAGGTGAGGTGGGGGTGGGGAGCGTGAGGTGAGGTGCGATGCGGGGCGCGAATCAAGCCAGAAGCCGCCTCGCGTCTGTCTCCCCCCTTGGGCTTCTCCGTCCTGCCAACCCGAAAAAAAAAAAAAGTCTCCCGGGGCGCGACGCAGAGTCGTCCGGGACAGCCCGTCACGCCGGCTACCACAGGGGCGGTGGGAGGCTCGGGGAGGGGGAGTCGTCGGGAGCCCGCGGCGCTCGCCCAGACGCGACTCGGCGGGGAGGCGGCCCGGGAAGGGGCAGCGCGTGCCGTCCACACACACACACACACACACACACACACACACACACGCGCGCGCGCACACGCACACGCACACACCCGCCTCAGCGCTCGCGGCCCGACGTGAGCCGGGCGGACGGCAGCCGGGCGGCCCGACGAACTCCCCGTCGCGGCGCCCCCCGTTACCTTCAAGCCATAGGGCGCCCCGGGGCTGCTCGCGGCTCCCGCCTCCCGCCGCATCCACGCACGGCCGCCGTCCCGGGGCCGCCGCTGTCCTCGGCGGCTCCCTGGCTCCCGGCCCCGCCGCGCGCCGCTCAGAGCCCCGGCGGGCAGTGTGGCTCGCGGGGAGCAGTGGACCGGCCGCGGCGGGGCGGGGCGGGGCCGGGCGTGCGGGGGGCGAGCGGCGCGGGCGGGCGGCGCGGAGGCGGCGCGGTGCGCGCGGAGGGCGGCCGGCTCCGGCTCTGAGGCTGGACAGCTCCGCGGCGCCCGCTCGCCGGCAGCGCGCGCGGCAGAGCAGGGGGCGGGGCGGCCAGGCCCCGCCCCTCCGCGGCCAGGCCCCGCCCCTCTCGCGGGCAGACCCCGCCCCTCTCGCGGGCATTCCCCGCCCCTCTCCGGCCAGGCCCCGCCCCTCACGCGGCGGACTCCGCCGGGGGCGCCTTCGGGGCTGTGAGGCGGGACGCCGCCCCTGGCGCTCCCTCCACGCACCCTCAATGTAGGGTGGCCGGGACCAGTGTCCTCGCCTCAGCAGTTACCTCCTTTGAAGGGGTGCGAGAGGCGGCAGCCTTCCCGGACCTCTCCTGAGGACCTCGGTGCGTTTTCTCTAGTCGCACTCTGGTCAGAACTGTGGTCGGCTCTGGGGCCGAGAGAGATCTCAGGAGAGATCCTGAAGGAAACCTGCTTGGCGTTGGCTGGAAATGGAAATGCAGGCGGCCTTTGGGGGGTTCTAGCTTCCCGGTCTGGTGGAGAAGAAAAAGCTGGCTGAGGAGGGTGGCACCTTCCCCTGCCCCGGGTTTTAGACCGCTGAGTACCCACCCCTCAGCCTCTTTTCCTCTTCCTTCTCTTTCTTCAACAATGAGCCATTCACTTCCTTCCCTGTTTCCGCTCCGGATTCAGGATCACCGGCAAGAATAAAATCAACTCTTGAGCCAGTCGGCTGCCCATCCAAAGTGGAGACTCCCAGGATGTTTCTGTCACTTGTCACACATAGCACCCGTGTTTGAACAAGAGCCCCCAAAGGCCAGACTGGAAGGACTGGGGACTGAAGAAGAAATGGCCACTTCCCAGGGGAGCATGGCTCTGCACTGCAAGCAGAGGACACAGCACCACATAGGCTCACCTTGTTGGTTCTCTCTGTTGCAGCATTTCCTCCAGAGATCCTCACAATGGCCACAAATGAGAGTGGGACAGGGATGTGGCTCAGAGAAGACGCATCTCTCACGTGGGAGAGATCCTGGGTTCCAGAGGCCCAGCACCTAGGAAAGGATGTTCATTCATCTAAACATCACACATTTACTCCACTCCATCAAGAAGGTGAGCATTCCAGAAAAATTATGTTTTCTTCAGATTCTACAGAGATCTATCACAGAGCCTACCCCGCATCTCCTGTAGACACCTCTGGTGGTTCTGGGGAAAGGGAGATGTCGAAAATGAAAGCTTATGCCTTAATACTACTTCTTTTTTATATATACCTTCGTGTGGTTGTGTTCCTTTTGCACCTTCATGTGACTGTGGTTTAACAGGGTTCCCACATGAAAGTATAAATCCCCACACTTTAAGCCACACTTCCTCAAATATAACTTTTTATAGAACGACTCAAAGGATGTTCTACTAACATCAAACCCCAAAAGACTTCACTCTGAAGAAGTTTATCCTCACAGAACTTGCTTCTCAGTCCTGTCATGACCCATAGACTTTTCTCTTGAGATTTTGCTCTTCACAGATTTTCTCCTCAGAAATTCTAACTCCTATAGGAATTTAGATTTGTGTGCAGATTTTGCTCTATACAAATAATTCTCCTAAGATTATTTTACTCAGATTTCTTCTCAAACGTGTAATCTATAGATACTTCACCTCAGATTTTGATCATCGCACATTTTGTTTCAGATCATCTTGAGAGGTGGAAGGGGTACAGACTTGGCGGTTCTCAGGGATTACTCCTGGCTCTGCACTCAGGAATTACACCTGGCGATGCTCTGGGGACCATATGGAGTGCCAGGAATCGAACCCAGGTAAGCCAATGCAAGGCAAGTTCCCTACTCACTATACTATCTTTCCAGCTGTCTCCTCAGATTGTTGTACCAAATAGAATTTGCTTCTCAGATTTTTGCTGTTCACCAACTTTTTGTGTAGGTCTGTTTTGCCCAATAGGTTTATGTCCTGTGGTTTTGTTACTTGCTGACTTTTCTCCACAGATTAGTCATGCCAAAAATTCTTTTCTTCTCAATTTGGTCCACTTTCTTCCCTCAATTTGGATATGATGTGTCAGATATATTTTCTCTCCTATTTTAATCTTCACACACTTTATCTCCCCAGAGACGTGGAATTCACTAGATATCTCCTATTTTACTCCTCCACAAGTTTCCCTTCTTAGACATGTTTTTTTCCAACAGGCTTTCCTCCTCAGATTTTGCTGTACACCAACTTTTGTACTTAAAGAAACTATGCTCTATAAACCTTTTCTTCAAATATGTTGCTCATCAACTTTTGTGCTGAATAGACAAAAATTTCTCTCATGCTTAGTTTACATTCTTTCTCAAAATGATGTGTCCAATAAACTATTGCTCAGACTTACTCCTTAGAGGTTTTACTCATTTTTTGTCATGAGGCTTATATCATCAGACTTCTATCATCACTCACTTTTATCCCCACCACATTTGTGCCAGACAGATTTTTCTCCTGATATTTTTCTCTTCACATACATTTCTGCTCTGGATACTTGTACCCAAAATATGTTTATCCTTAGACCTTAGTCCTCTCAGACTTTCCTCTCAGACTTTCTCCTCAGAACTTCTTTCCAAATAGTTTTTTCCTTAGGTTTTTCTTATTAGTTTTGTCTTGCTCAATTATACTTAATTCAGATTTTTCACCTCAGAAGCATTTTCCTTCAGAGATGTTGTAGACATTAGATTTCTCTCACATTTTCCCTCCTTCACATACTGTTCTACTTAGACCTTTTGTAACCAATAAACATTTTCTGTTATTTTACTCCTTCGGAGCTTTCTTTCCAGACCTACTTTTCCCAATACTCCTTTCTCTTCATAATTTGCTTCTTACAGCATTTTCTCCTAAGAACTTTATTCCCATTAGATCCTCCCTCCAATTATGTTCTGTCTTACACTTTTTGCTTAGACCTCATGTGTCCAATATGTTTTCTCCTTAGTTTTTGTTTTCACAGATTTTTCTCCCCAGAGACCTAATAAACTTTTTATTTCAGATTTTGCTTTCCATAGACTTATCTTCTCAGATTTTTCTTCTCACAATTTTCTCAACAGCAGTTATGCCACCTAGACTTCTCTCCTTATATTTTTCAATCTGCAGTCTTTACTCAGAGACAATTTGCATTATAGGTCTTTCTTTCTAATTTTGTTCCACAGTCTTTTTTTGTGTCCTCCTCTCTTTTAAACCAGTGGTCTTCAACTGCTGTTCTGCAAGTGTAAAAAGTTTAAAACCACTGGTCTACCACCTTGGTTGTAAGTGCTGGTTCAATTTTTTAAAAGTTGCTGGTTGCAGACAGGTTCTGGCATGCAGACAGGTTCTGGTCCACAGGTGTAAAAAGGTTGAATAATGCTGCCTTAGACCATTCTTTATATTAAAACAAACAAACAAACATAATACTAATAATAATAAAACATCAACCCTTTGTACTCCCAGCTCACCACTTCAACACATCAGTTTGGGGACAGAGTACAGGGCCATGCAAGTCACTCTCCTCTGATTATTGAGAGGAATGAGATTGACAACCTGCCTCAGTTATCTTGTTCTGTGGCCTTGACTAAATAGTTTCATCTCTAGGAGTTCAGTTTTTATCTTTAATTTGGGGATAAGATTACACTTTCTCTGGGGAGTTATGAAGATGATGGGTGAAGAAGCATAAGACAAACTGCCTGAAAGTAGCCCCCTGACTATGCTGAGCTGAGGAGGGGAGCTTTGCACATCCAGATGGCAGATGCAGGAGTCAGATAACCTCTGTAGGCTGCACCAGCTCAAAGACACTTTTGTTCTGCACTGTTTTTCTCATCATGATCTCACACTCCTCAGTGAATTTCATGCTTACTGTGAGTAAGATGGATGGATCTTTTAGTTTTCAATTAGCAAACACTTCGCTCTTAAAACAATTGGCAAGGCAAACAGATGCACTGAGTGACTGATGACAGGAAACATCTGAGCCAAGTGGTGGCTACACCCTGGGCTCTCAGTTCATTTCCCAGTCGAGCAGTAGGGGCCTCTGAAGGTTATTGAGCAACCCACTCCTCCTACAGGCAGAGCTATGCTATTCCAAGTAAACCAGCGAAGGCTGGCTGGCCCTTTCCTTAAACCATGAAAGGAGACACAACAATCTCCTTGAGTTTCTCACATATATGTTCCAAGCCTCTGAGTCAAGAAGTTCTTCATGATATGCTATTAAAACCTTAAATTCCTCCTTTGTGTGTGTGGAGAGGGGGTGGGGGGAAAGAGTCCAAATTGGCAAATAAATCATGAGTGACAGGTAGGGATAGATGACTTGAGGCAGGTGGTGGCATTGTTGGCTTGAAGTGATAAGAAAATAAAGGACTAAGTCAATGAAGAATAAGGGAGATCTAGAATTTCTCCCCCCTCCCCAAGAACTGTTCTCTAAGGTGGAGAATGAGATATGGATCTGTTTTGGAAAGGAAGATCCCAAAAAGTTCTACTTCAACCCTGATACACTCTCGGAGAAAGAGATAGAAACCATCAACCTCCTTTCCCAGAATAATTACATAAAAAATAAGAAAAATGCTCTCATCTGAGAAGTCCAAGCTAAGAAGGATTAAAGTCACTCTTTTCTAGTTGGGATTTGAACTTGGCTGTCTGATTTTAAAGCCCATGAATGAGCCTTTTCACAGATCACAGTAGGTAGGAGCCACTGGAGTTGTATTGATAGATAACCTCAAAGCTGTGCTAGTATTTGTTTAAAATGCTGGTAAGTTGGTATGGGGACCTATGGTGACATAAAATTTAAAATAACTTGCATTTATCTACCTTTATTCCCCATATTTGAAACCAGAGAAATTGAACTTATTTCATAATCACACTGTCATAAGAAACAATAAAAACATGAATACCATGGTTTAGAGATAGATCTGCTAGCCCAGAAAGTACACTAAAAGAATCAACAGAAGGATTCAATATAT